ATCCATCCATCCATCCATCCATCCATCCATCCATCCATCCATCCATCTACCCACTCACCCACCCATTCCTCCTTCCACCCATCCACCCACCCACCCATCCATCCATCCATCCATCCATCCATCCATCCATCCATCCATCCACCCACCCACCCACCCACCCATGCACCCATCCACCCATCCACCCATCCGCCCACCCACCTCTGTCTTTAGAACCCAACACTGCCATAGTGACAGATGTCCTTAAAAACGAGCGTGCACGTGCTGGGCTTTGGAGATATACCACCTTAACAGCCCCTGTCATGCATCCCTACTGAATATAGTGTGCAGCTCTGAGCACAGTTCTATTGAATTTGGGTGCTTTGAAAGCTATCCCTGAGCATCAGCCCTTGGGGAATGGGAAGGACTGGAAAGGATGTGCTCCTCCATCTAATAACATATGTTTCAGACACCTTTCCCTTGAGACAGCAGCCTCTGGAAGCCCAAGATGAACCTTCCAACAAGATTAAAGAGATGGCATTAATTGCTATCGATCATGGGTCAACAAATTAAATTGCATCTGCAACCGCATCTCTGAAAGGTCTAAATGAGAATAGTAGTTAATGGGTCTGGCTGGCCCAGAGCTGTGATTAATTAAAGGAAGAAATGAACTAAAACGCGAAGAAAAAAAAAAAAAAAGAAAGGCAGAAAGACTGAGATGAAGCTGAAATTCTTTGGGAATAAGCAGGTTATGTGTTAAAAAAAAAAAAAAAAAAAAAAAAAAAAAAAAAAAGTATAAAGCAGAGAGCTGGATGGGATTTCCATTCTGGATATGCTCTGTCAGGCTTCAGACTGGCTGTACCAGCGACGAAGATTTTGGGTATTGCTCCAAGCACCTAGGTGCCCACTGACATCAGTGATCCATCTTGCCGTAGCTGGAGCACAAATTGCACGGCCTTCCCATGGGAAGCTGGGTGAGGTCCTTCTGGGCAGGAATACGGGTGCTGCCCTGCCTCTCAGAAAATAATGGAGAAGCACGGCGTGGAATGTTGATGGTGTTTAATTAATAATGGAGAAAATAATAATATGCGGCACGTGTAGCACCGTACTTGTTCCAAGCACTGTACAAACATCAACTACAGTAATTAAGCTGTAATTAATTAGAGTAACTACTAATCAGTGTAAATAATGATGCATCTGGAGGTAGCAAAAGGAGTTTGTGAACGGAAAGCAAATTCCCACATTTGGGACATGGGGCTGAATATCAAACGGCACCAGTGAAAGGAAGAGAGCACGTGGAGGTTGAGGGGAGGGCCTTGGAGCTGCAGGCGATGTGATGGCAAAGTGGGGAACTGGGGCAGGGAAATCAGCAGAGGAAAATACACCACAGATATAGAGGGCTTTTTTGCTGGTTCACACACTTTATATTTAACAAAATAATTATTTTTTAATAATATATCTTTTTACACATTGTTTCTAGAATCTTTTTTTTTTTTTTTTTTTTTTTTTTTACAGAATAGGCTTTTTTGTTTTTCCCTCACTAGTTTCAGGCACGCTATTGTTTGAAAACTTTGAAAAGGGATAGATGGTCATCGGCAGAGAGCAGCTGACAAACCAAGGTGACAATGGCTTTGTTTGTGGTGCCAGCAGGGGAGAACATCCTCAGCCCAAGCACAGCAGCGATTGCACCTGTGCTCGTCCCACCCCAGCTAAGGATCTGCCCTCTGCTGAAACACAAAACGGAGAAGAAATGAAAATACCAAGGCAGCTGTGCACCAACCGAGACCACCTCAATGCATGTGCTGGTTGGATTTGCCATCGTCGCTGCTAAGAGCCGGTGCTGGGCTGAAGGCTGACTGAAATAACCACCCTCATCCTAATGGCAATGGGCAAAAAGCAGCAAACTAAGTGTGAGCGGTGACTGGCACAGTACTAGTGAATCAGAGGGAGAGCAACCGGCCCCCAGCGCAGGAGCTGCGGGGAAACACCACTGCTCTCCGACCTGGGTAAGACGCCGTGCTCTTGATGTCCTCGCGAGGACAAGGCCACAAGCTCAAGGTGCCCATCCTCAGCATCGCTGTCCCCACGCGGTGGGGAAGGTCAGCACAGACCCAGCGTCGGGCTCAGCCCCGTCCCCGCTGCTGGCCCATGCCCCCTCCTGTCCTTAGTGCCCCCCCACAGACACCACGGAGACCGCCCGCTGCTTCGCTCATAGCTGTATTGCCCCGACCATCCCAGCTTCGGCTTAAAAAAGTTGTCATAAATAAATCACAACAGCAAAAGAAATGACCGTGGAAAACCGCGATCCGCGCCGTCGGAAGTGAGAGCGGTGAGCGAAGCGGCGCCTCGCAGCCATCGCCAGTCAAAGAGCTTGCGCAGGACGTTGTGTTCTCTCTTCTCTTCCCCCTCCACATCTCACCACAGAATCCCTACCGAGCGCCGATAATCACGAAAGCAGAGCAGCTACCTAGGTGCTGGGTACGTGGGGCCGAAAGCAAGAGGGCAGGGAGGGAAACCCTGTCCCGCCACGAGCGCCCGGTGGCCTCGGTGGTGACCCTGCAGCAGCTGGAGGAGCTGGGACGCGTTGGAGCCGTGCTCGCGGTGGCAGTGAGGGGTTCTGCTGCTACAGAGCCTGCTTGCCCTGGCACTCGCGCTTGGAGCACTGCGCCGGCTTCCACCAGTCCCCGTTGTGGCAGTGGCAGATGTTGCAGTCGTCCACCTTCACCTCGATGCCCGCGGGGATGATGGTGGTTCCTGCGAAGCAGTTGGGACCTGTGGGAACACAGGCACAGCGTAGAAATGAATACACGTTCCTCATTATTATTATTATTATTTTATATATTTAATTCAATGAAGTTGGTTTATCTCCCTTTTTTTGCTGCGCATTCATTTAGTGCCACTGTATCCCAAGGTTTGGCTTCAAGACCGCGAGGACAAGCATTGCTGCTGTAACCCGGCGATCCCGTGCTAATGGACAGGACCAGAGCCCACTCATCCTGCATCCTGAGCCCCAGTGCTGGAAGACACAGGTGATTTATGGCATCGGGTTCATCAAATCAACTCATCTCCCAGATAAGACCGAACAGGCTGCCCAGGGAAGCTGTGGCTGCCCTGTCTCTGGCACTGCCCAAGGCCAGGCTGGATGGGGCTGTGGGCAGCCTGATCTGTGGGAGGTATCCTTACCCATGGCAGGGGTTGAGGCTGGTGGGCTTTGAGGACTCTCCTAAACTAACCAACCTTCTGTGATTCTAGGATTCTAGGATTCTACGATATCATGAATTAACACCAGCGCCAGCAAATTGGGGTGGTCACACACAAAGTATCAAGGAAGCAAGAACACGCTGCAGTGCCTGGTGGCTTAAATTATTGCTCCAAAATGTCACTCCTTGGCAGGCCATGATTTTTAATCTGTTCTCCTCATGCATGGGAGGCACTTGAAAGATGAGTGGTGAGTGGTGTTGCCTGAATTTTGTCCATGTTTAAGTGACCTCCCCGCCTTTAATAAATGCCTCTTCCGTTTTACCTCAGCTCCTTCACGCTCAAGTTAACAAAGCCAGTACAACAGCCCGAGGAATAAGTCCCTGATGATGCCTGCACCAGAATTTGGCATTTCTTGGTAAACCTTGTATCATAGCTGCAGGCAGGTCAGCCTCTGCTGGCCACACGAGGCTTCTTCACTCATCCTCCAGGCCATAAACGCCAGGGGATCAAATATATTTTATTGTTCTCAAGACCCCTGCTTTGCATGTTATCTGCTGATAAACACAGCGCTCGGTGGTATCGGTTAAGCATCCCATTTTTTCACTGCAATTACTCCTCCTTATTTGACCTGGGAAGTGCAAGGAGGGACCTAACCCTGTTTTGGTCTTGCAGGAAGACTCCTTTGCAATAGCTGTGCACTCAGCTGCGTTGTTTTCCAGCAACCCCTCAAAACCGTCATTTCTCCCCATGTCTTCAGGGTGTCTGGCTGTGCTGCTGCTGCAGTTCCAACAGATGTTAATTCTCTGCTTCATGAAGCCTGATGGATGCTGCTGTGTTATGACATCCGAGCAGGCTCCTCCATCAGGTAGGCTCATTTTTTGCTGCTAAAAGTCAGGGTCAAATGCAATGGAAAGGCCAATAATTGCAACTGGCTGTATTTAAAGCTGCAGTACGTGCCTGCACCTCTTTGATGGGACATTCTGGTCACTTGCCAGCGTCAGGGATGTGAGGATGGGCAGGCTCCAAACAACAGCCTGCTCTGCTCTCCCGGAGAAAAAACCCTACATTTAAACAAAACACTTCCTCTGAAAATTAGGGTGACAAGGAAAGAGGAAGATCGTTTTCTCTGTTGCTGCCCCGCAGCGTCCTGTTAAATCACATCATCTGAGCATCCAATGCTGATCCAACACTGACATGCATTTCCAAACAGATCTCTCTCCTGCAGCATAACCACAGCAGATCTACAGTGCCAACAGTCAACTCGGTGTGGGTGAAGTCCTCCAGCCTTCCAGCAGCCAGCCCAGGATTCATGAACGGCTGTGATACAAAGGGGAGGCTGATGAGGAAGATGTATTGAAAGCATCACCTCTGAGCTCCCCAGACCACTTGCTTTGGGGTTGGATCTGCCTGTCTCAGCCAAGGACACAGGTTGTCTGCATAATGGTGATAAAACATGAGTAACTTGCACCTCTGACCTCTTGACCTACTGATCCAGAAAGGACCTGTCAAGGACCTCCGCATCTCACAGGACCTCCTTAGGATGCTGCCCTTCTCTCACAGGGGCTGGGAAAGGGAAAAACCACAGCATCTTGGCTAAGTCAGAAGAAGAGGAGGCAGCGGTGGATGATCTCAAAATTGCCACCAATGGTCACCAAACTCTTTCCTTCTGCGCATCACAGCTAGCCCTGCCATTCCCCCCAAACCAAAAAGCAACATTTCTACCCTCCCTTTCTTTTAATCAACAACCCCAAACCCTCCTTCCCAGCACAACGGTTGCCAGCCGTCCCATTTTTTCCCCATCTAACCTCTCCCAGCTTGGATCCACATGTAGATCCTGGCTTTTCAAAACTGCTGGTAGCACATATCGCATCCAGACTAGACCAGCAATGTGGTTCTTTATTATTATTCAAAAGAAGAGGCCGCTCAGGAGCACTTGATGACATGTCAAGCACATCAAGAAAGTTATTTGTGGTAACAGCAGGAGGAACAAGGAGCTTCTCTGGGCTGTCATCGTGTTCTCCCTAACAGCAGCTGCAGCCCCCACCACTTTGAAAGCAGGGCAGCAAACAGCCCTTCACCTCCTTGCTCAGGGAGACGGATGGTAGAAGTTTGCTGCTCCCACAGACAATGTAATTGTGAGATCTGCTTTGCTTAACATAATTAATACTCATAAAAGACCGCGGCACTCCAGGCTGTTTGCTAGAACAGCTGTCAAGATTTTTATGGTGATATAGCACAGAAGTTCATGCGCTGTTTTGATGGGAGAGATGTAGCACAAAGAGAAAAAACAAAAAGGGCTGTTTTGGTTTATGGGAACAGTGACAGTGAGTTTTGCAATCCTTATGCCTCAGACTGGATACTGGGGTGATGGCACAACGTTGTGCCACTGAACTCACCTCCCAGTTCAGGAAATGCTCAAGGAAATGCTCTGGAAATCCTCAAGGCCAACCCCCTGTGACAGCAGGTTGTACAGGGAAGTGTCCAGCTGGGGTTCCACAAGCTGTCTGGGTGTGGGTTTGAAGCTCTCCAGCGTGGTGTCGTGTGGATGCTGCCTGTGCTGTGGGTTTTAATGGGCTTGCAGCAGCTCTGGATTTAGCTTTGCATGTGCAGACAAGCCGTAAGAAGGGAGGAAAATGTTAAGTGAATCACTTCAGGCCAGCTGTGATATTTGGGTTTGCCCGAAAGAGTATCGTGCACGAAAACTAATCCTGTTGCCTTCACTGCAGCTCCTGACAGTGCCCCATGCCCTTTCAGCAAGGAGCAGAGCTCTCATTACACATCCCCATGCTCCTGCCAGGACAGTCAGCAGGCACTGGGGGTTCCCGATGGAGGGAGTTACTCTCCCCTTCTTCCCATACCATTTCAGAATGGACACAGCCTGCAAGCATCCCCACGGACACTCATTCAGATGAATGAGTCCTGATGAATTTGCTTTTGGAACGCAACCACAAATGCACCGAGGCAAAGGGATTAACTGCTGGCAGTTTGTGATGAGCAGTAGGGGCCACTTCAACTGCCCTCTCAGGCTGGGGGCAGATATTTTTGCATGCACCCATGATGCAGAGATCTCAACGTGACCACAATGCAGTGTTTCCAGAGCGTTCCCATCATGTCTCTGCCAATACAACCACGTGCAAAGCAAGGATCAGGCAAGAATTGTGCCCAGGAACAAGGGCAAGCCCCGCACGAGGCTTCCTGCAGACGCCTCCCAGCACAGGAGAATGCAAAACACACCAAAAAAACCATTAATCACAAGGGATCCTGGCACTCTACATGCAGATGCACTCTGGAGTTTTGCTGATTTCTCATAGGGTGATGAGGAGCAACGGCTGTGATGGCATGGCTGGTGACAGAGATGAAAACCTGGGAGGAGACCAGGACCCTCTCCCAGTCCTCTCGCTTTTCCCTGGCACTGATTGCTGGCATTCCCACTGTGCCTTCACACTCCTTGGGGCTGAGATGGTCCACCTTCCACTCCTTGGGTTGAAACGGTCCAGGTCCACATGGCTAAACCCAGCTCTTCCCCCAGGCACGTCTGCAGGGCTGTACACGGTCTTGAGAAGGAGCAGCCACCCCACCTAGATCAGTTCCTCCATTTACCTTCCAGGCTTGGCTGTAGAAAGTAGAGGTCTTGCGCTGCCTACACTTTGTGACTTCTTCCATGTCCAGGTTGAGCTCTGTGCTGGAGGTGAGCAGAACAGCATCTTGTTTTTAATGCCCCCTCCCCCCACACCCCTGACGTGCTGACCCTGCAGGATTTTTTCAGATGTTAATTTTGTTCTGTCAATGCTATTTATGTGATCACTTCAGATTGCAAGAAAAGAGCTCAATTTGTGGCTTTAATTAATGAGTCGAGGAGGGAAGACGTCTTGTTTTTGCTGCCTCACATCAAGACTGAATGCCCCTCTCACCACAGGGGAGGAGAAGACGGCGGGTGAAGCCAGAGGTGAGACATAAGCAAGTCAGCTGATGATGCTGAGGTTTGCCTTAATTAAAATGAAAGTTGGCGATGCACCGCAGGCTGGGCTGAAAATACCACAAGGAGATAACAGCCCTGGGGCTTCACTTTTGTGTTAGAAAGAGGACAAAGCTGAAGAACGCCCTAATGCAAAGCATCCTTGAAGTCTCAGGGTGTTCGGGAAGCAGTGCTGGGGACACGGTGGCTCCAGGAGGTGACTTCCATGTCCTCCAGGGTAAGACAGAGCCCTGTCCATCCAGCACGTTCCCAACAAACACACCAGGCAAGAACCTCCCTGGGATCTCCCACAGTCTAAGACTATTGCCCCATAGGCCAACAGAGCAATGCAGACATAGCCACCACCCTAAGAACATCTGGCAGCAGCTGGATGCTGCCTCACCTTTGGGAGCACCCTCCCTGCCATAAACAGGTCTTCCAGCCACTCATCAGCTTTCAGTCTTGCTCCAGAGAATGCATCTCCTCCAAAGCTGCTCATCAATTCTTGTCCCTCTTTCCTGCACATTCCACCCCTCCTAACGCTACGCTAATACCCCTTCTCCCTCCGTGCTGCCTATTTACACAAGAGATTTTCCCAGCCACAATTCACGTTGCT